CCGCGGTGGCAGCCACCGCCGCGCCAGCGCCCAGGCCCGATCCGCCCGGAGCCGCGGAGCCAGGACCGCGGGGCGCGCAGCTTCTTATTACGGAGGAAGATTCGGCCTGACCTCCGCCCCCCTGCCCCGGCCCAGTGCCCCGCTGCCCGGCGGCGCTGCTGCGCAGGCGCGGACACGCCCCTGCCAGGCGTGCGGGTGTCGGGTGTGTTTACAGCGTCCAGATTCGCCCAATGGCAAGCAGGATCAGATGCGGGGGGCGGGACTTGGTGGAGGGGGCGGGGTCCCGGTGCCTGGGGGTGGGTGGGGCAGCCGGAAGTGGGCAGGGTTTGCAGGGAGGCGGGGCTTTGTGGGCAAACCCGCTTGGGTTTTTGAGGTTTGTACCGTTTTAGGACTATGATTTTAGTTTGCTTCTTAGTCGTCTTCTCAAGTTCTTAACTCGGACAGGGACAGTTTGGTTTTCTCAGTAAATTATAATTATTCAAGCTTTTGTCTTAAGTATATATTTAGAAAGAAGTCGAATTAGTGTAAGTGCTATCTTTAGTGTTCAAGGTAACAATTGGCCAATGTGCTATAATTTGTAATGGAAGTTAATATTTAAAGAAATTAGATACCGTTAGCTCCGTTGTAGAGATGGAAAAATTGAGTTTTGGAGATGATTAAACTCCCGCACGTTAAGTGACAGCTGGAAATTGAAGCTAGAGCTGCTTAATGCTAGAGTCTGTGGGCTCCACCACTGTTCCTGTTCAGGTCCTAGTTCTTGCATCCTCGCCTGAAGAGTCAAAGCCCACATGGCTGTGCTCCCGGAGAACACAGGCCACCCTGGAAACTGCCTCCACCCGCAATTAGAAATGGAGATGCTGTTGAGATATTCCCCATCTAGCCGTTCAACAAATATTGGTTGTCTGGAAAGTGACGCTCAACCTTCGGAATACACAGTGCAGAGAGCTCAAGGCCAGCCCAGCCCAGCCCATTGGTGTGGTCCCCAGTCACAGATGAGTCTGCTGGAGGCTGGACGCCTTCTTGAATAATGTGATGGCCAGGCCAGTGCTGTGGCAGGGACCTTTCTCGTGGACCTCTCTCTCTAGGAGTCTATTTCTTATGGCATTTCACAGATGAGGAAACCGAGGCTCTGAAAGATTATTTAAATAATTAGTGTCTGTACTGGGATTCACATGCAAAAAGTTCACTTTCAGTATTAACACTATTCTGCAAGTAGAAAGCGTTTTAAAAATGTTTATAAATGTGGATTATATGTTTAATTGACAGTCTCTCACAAGACATGGAATTCATTTTATACTGATTGGGTCATTCTCTTCCTGAAAACAGACCCAGTAGTGGTGGTTGTCACCATTTCTGGAGACTAGCAGGGAGTTGGCTCATGAAACTCTGCGGAGGCTTGGATAGGCCGAGGCTGCATGGATTCCTTGCATACTTGGGTAATTCACAACCCTCACTGAGGCCTTTAACCAAGATTTCCATTCTGCTGCTTTCTGCTCCCCTCAAAATCTGACAGCTGAGTTGCAGTTGTTTTTTCAGACAGCTTTATTGAGGTATAATTGACATCTAATATACGGAGCATATTAAAAGTATATAATCTGATAAGTTTTGACATATGTATACCCCCTTGAAACCATCACTACAATCAAGGGAATATATCCATCATCCTCAAGTCTCCTCACACCCCTTTGTAATTTCTTCCACCCATCCCTGCCTGCCTCCCACACCTAAGCAACCGCTGATCTACTTTCTGTCATTATAGAGTCATTTGCATTTTCTAAAGTTTTATTTATTTATTTATTTTTTGTGAGGAAGATCAGCCCTGAGCTAACATCCATGCCAATCCTCTTTTTTGTTGAGGAAGACTGGCCCTGGGCTAACATCTGTGCCCATCTTCCTCCACTTTATATGGGATGCCGCCACAGCATGGCCTGACAAGCAGTGCCTCGGTGCACGCCTGGGATCCGAACCCCGGGCCGCCAGCAGTGGAGTGCGCACACTTAACTGCTACACCACGGGGCCGGCGCCGCTAAAGTTTTATATAAATAAAATCAGACAGTGTGTATTCTTTTTTTTTTTTTTTTTGTCTGTATTTTTCCCTATTCTGACTTTCATATGAATAGAATCGTATATGTTTTTTTTTTTTTTTTTGGTCTGGTTTGTTTTACTCAGTATCATTATCTTGACATTCATCTATGTTGTTCTGTGTACCAGTAGTTCATTCCTTTTTATTGCTAAGTATATTCCATTATATGGATGTACTGCAATTTATGTATCCACTCATCTGTTGATGGACATTTGGGTTGTGTCTAATTTTGGGCTATTACCAATAAAGCTACTATGAACGTTTGTGTAAAAGTCTTTGTGTGGGCATATATTTCCTTTTTTTCTTGGGTAAAAGTCTAGAAGGGGAGTGGTTGGATCATGTGGTAGATGCATGCTTCACTTCTTAAGAAGCTGCTAAACTGTTTTCCAGAGTGGTTGTACCATTTTGCGTTCTCACC